ATATAAATTAAGCGGGTATATAAAAGCCACTGTGGCTTGGTGGCCCTAAGTTCAAACAAAAATTTTTCTGTGCGGACTCCTGACATAGCTCTACGTGCGGCGAGAGTTATTTCTGAGTTATTTTCAAGTTATTTCTTGGTTATTTTCAATAATACCGAAATAATCCAAAAATAAAGACCGCGGGTTATTTTTGGGTTATTTCAAGATTATTGAAAATAACCAAAAAATAACCTGAAAATAACTCAAGAATAACCTACGCCGCACATAGAGCTGTGTCAGGAGTCCGGACAGAAAAAACACTCAAGTTCAAGGCCTTGTATATGCAATGTGCATAAAAAAATTATGAAAAACTAAAAGTTAAGGGGGGCATTTATGCAACTAATTTATTCATCACCAAAAAGAAGAGCAAATTACAATTAATATGAAGAAAAAAAAATTGCATGATTTATACATAAAAATCTATGATTCCAAGCAGGAAAACTTTAATCAGTAAAGCTCCAGAACTACCTTACCATGTATAAGCCTTTTCTCTTTTGCTTCATGAGCCTGCCTCACCTCCGCAATAGGGAATGTCTTCTCCACAGGTATTTTCATCTTCCCAGCCTCTAACAGTCTCCCAATTTCATCCAGCCCTTCAGCATCAGCTCTCATGTATGTCCAGCTATACTCTGATTAATTTTTGTGCAAAATATAAGTACTTATATTATTGCGGCATTTACATATATACCCACACAATTCTTATGTCTTTACATATCTAACACCTAAACATTCATATGTAGGTACATACCACTAAGTCTTTAATATCAAATCAAAACTTACCACTATAAGCATCATACTTTGGGTGTTAGATGTGTATAGATGTGTAAATATAGAGAATTTGTGTGGTATGTATGTAAATTTCCCTATATTATTACAGTAACAATTTGAACCTTTTTTTACTGCTGCTTAACAAGGTAAAGCAACCAGCAAAGGCCAGGTATTTGCTGTGCTACAATAACTTTTATATTATACGACTCAATTTTTATGTATTTTTATATCTAACCCCTAAACTTCTATTTTTTTACTTATCTGCCATCTTATCTGTGCATGAAAAGATGTATTTTACTTTTAAAAAGTTAAAATACTGCATTTTTTATGTGATATGATGGATTTTGGGTGGTATAAATATAAAAAGAGAAGTTTAAGTGTTGAATATAAACATACATAATAATGGGGATGTAAATGCCACCTTACATATGCATGAAAAGTTTAGGTGTTAAGGTGGTATGCATGTAAAAATTGAAGATTAGGTGTTGGATATGTAAATATATAGGAATTGAGTGCTATGTATGCAATTCTTCCAAAAAAATGGGATGTCTTCTTATTCAGCAGACAACATCAAGAAAAAATTGAAATATCCAGCTTACCAATTCCATGAGAATATTTGTATTGAAGCTTCTTCTTCAGCAGAATAGCTGTAGCAGCAGGAAGACCAAAAGCTAAACCATATTTATCAGCAAAAGATGCTGCTTCTCCCTATCACAACATAAAGGGCAGCCTGTGTTAAACCAAAGCAGACCAAACAGAAAAGTAAGCAATTTTTTAGGATCATTTTTGTTTTTTATTTTTTATTTTTTATTTTTGCCTTTATTTTGATAACATGTTTGCTATGTACATTTTTTTCATGTTTTTATTTTTTTTATTTCCAAAAACAAATTAACTAGTTTTCAAAAATACTTAAAACATCTAAAAAATGTAATTTTAGTAGATCTAAAACTGAATCCTATGGAATGTAATTTTAGTAGTAGTAGCTTTAGTGGCAAAGTTGTAACTATCATTAAAAGGTATGAATGTTTTTGATATCCCAGGTCTATAGTTCAAAGTGATGGTGATACAACTCTAGTGGCAAAGTTGTAACTATCATTAAAATGTATGAATGTTTTAGATATCCCAGGTCTATAGTTCAAAGTGATGGTGATATAGATTGGGATGTTATTAGTATAATTCAAGTTGGTTGGTTGAAGTGGAGGAATGCATCGGGCCTATTGTGTGATGGAAAAGTATTACTTAGTCAGAAAGGAAAATTTTATAAAATGGTGGTGAGACATGCCATGCAATGCCTTATGGCGTAGAATGTTGGCTTTTAAAAAAGATGCATACAAAAAAGTTAAGTGTTGCTGAGATGAGAATGCTTAGGTGGACGAGTGGCTTGACAATTAGGGACAAAATGCCAAATGAATATATCTGTGTGATAGGGTTGATGTAGCTCTAGTAGTGGACAAGATTAGAGAGTCATCTTAAATGGTTTCGTCCTATTAAACGTCGACCATCTGATGATCCAGTTAGGAGTGTAGATGTTTCAGATTTGAATTATGTTAAGAAAGACGGAGGTAGACCTAAAAAGATTTATAAAAAATGATCTTAATCGATTAGAATTAAATGAAAATATGACACTCAATAGGACTCAATGGAGAAAAAGGATCCATATAGCCGACCCCAATCCCTCGGATAAAGGCTTGTCCTTGTTGTTGTTGAAAAACATCTAAAAAATATTTCGAGTGTCTTTAAAGACAATTAAACACGTTATAACAATATAATATATCAAACATATTTTATTTCAGGCAGAAAACAAATAAAATTAAATTAAAATAATAAAAGATAAAAAACAAAAGTAATCCCAAATGACCTTTAAAGAAAGCAACTGGATTGAACAATTACGCACCTGCAGAGTCATATAATGCCCGCCTTTTTTCAAAATATTTACACCGATTCTTTCAGTTTCAGGCATCCCTATGGTATCCAAAACAGCATCAAATTGCCCTCTGATTGTTGACTGAACATCCTGAAAATTGTCGACCATATCAAACTAATAGTGTGAGTTTTAAGAAAGCAATATGCCAGAAAAAAAAAAAGGAGCAATAAATTACATACCACCCAATTCCTACATATTTACATATCTAACACCTAAACTTTACTTTTTACATTTTAACCACCCAAATCTTTAATATCACGCTAAAAATATCCCTATTTTAATTATTAAAAAGTCAAATAAACCTTTTCATATGTATGTAAGGTGGCATGTATGTAAACAATTAAAGTTTAGGCATTAGATATGTACACACGTAAGAATTGAGTGGAATGTATGTAAATCTTCCTACAAAAATTAGCCAAAAAAAAAAAAAAAAGAATAGAACTTTGACATGAGAAAGTTACAAAAATGACCCATGACATGAAACAGGTTGAATTAGTAAGTCAAGAAACTCATTTAAGCGCAAACATTCGAATATAACTCCGGTCCATTGAAATGCACAGAGATCAACACTTTCATGTCAATTGATTTTCTTCATTACTGTAAGTCTCTGTCTCTCATTTCTCTCTTATGATGTAACACAAGAAAATAAGTCTAGATTAATGGTTAGAATATTCTAACATTTAAATTAATTTAGGCTTTATTCTAGTTTTAAATTTCTTGAATTCTTAAGATTATTTGTTTTCACTTGGATGATCGAGTTATTAAGAATTATCTAAGTTTAAATTATATCCCTATTCCTAAAAATAGGGAGTGTATGACTTAAATAAACTTTTTCAGTGATTGAAAGAAATCTTCTATTATTGTGCTCGTAGATCTTACAGTAGTTCCAGCCTTAATCCTTAATTTTCAAGCCTTATAATGTTCGCACATAGGTTTTCAATCATATCCTGCAAATCACAATCACATCACCCAAAAAAAAATCTCTAAACATACAGTTTCTTAAACAAACTTCTTAATTAGAAAATGCAATATAGCTTTCGAAATACTATATTAATACTAAGATACAATATCTAATTGCAATACTACAAGTACTTTAATTTGACCCGAAAAATTGGTTGCATCTTCAAAAAATTAGGAAAATGAGGAGTTGAGATATATCATGGCCATACCCGGTGTCTATAAAATAATCCAAACAAATAAATAATGGTGTCAATGAATCGTAGACGCATCAAAATATGTACAAATATAAACACAAATTATCTTCATCTCAATGGTTCTAGTAGATATTTTATGCACCTAAGAAGACTATAATATCCTTTCTAGGATAAAAAATAACCAAAGTGTCTCCATCTCAAGAACCAGATTACTATAATGCCCTCAGATTGTAATAACAGAATTTTAAAAAATAATACTAATAATAATAAAACAGTGGTTAAGGGTTCGATATAATTGTCAGAGAATTTCATCTTTAGGAGTCGTATGCCCTATTTGAATCAAATGAAACAAAGAGGGCGAGAAATTGAAAGACAGTGAAAAAGGAGAAGCAATGTGCATGCCCTAGCCAACCGGTAGAGAAGAAGGAAAAAAGAAGAGGAAGTTACTGTGTGAAGAAGTAGGGGTCGCTTACTTCTCTTACCAGTATTTTGATGTTCTTGAAAGAAGTCGACGTCGAGCCCTAGCGTGCACAAGAAGAAGTGTCGAGGGCTCTGTGTGAGAAAAAGGAAGAGGTGAGGCTTCAAAGTGTGAACATTATAGCCGTGCATACATCCCTTGAGAGTGAAGGATGAAGAGGAAGAAGCGAAGGAGGCTCGCGAGCGAAGTCGAGGAGGCTCTACATAAGAGCTTTAAATTAGCATTGATATTTTCGCGTCGGAAATTTTCGACACATAAAGTTGTGTCAAATTTTGTGATTGATTTGTGTCGAACATATATTTATTCCATTTCAGTTGGAAGTTGCATCGAATTTACGTATGAATATTCGACACAAACAACGACAAAATTAACGGTGTCATTGCGGAGCTTTTTGTGTTAGATTTGGGTCAAATAAATCGAAGCAAAAGCTTTACTTAAAAGCGTCGAAAAAAGCCGAAGCAAAGTAGACGATAAATCTGACTCAATAGACCTAAAAGCTCATCCCGCGCCTTCTAATTCATTTTCTTTTTCGCGCGTCCATCTTCTCCTTCACGCAACAACCAAAACCCTAGCATCTCCTCTTCTCCCTCTCGCCATCTCCGGTTACCGCAACTCCCCATCGTAGGTCGCTGCAGCTCCCGCCACCAAAACCTCGTCGCGACTATAATCCATCGCTGCTTGTGAGACGATTGGAAAAGATAGCTTCGCCCCATTTTTTTCTTTTATAAATTTTGGTATGTATGTTACATTTGAAGTTTTGGCGTTAAGAATGTATGTGCATAAGATTTCAGTGGTATGTATGTAACATTTGAAGTTTACGTTAAGAATGTATGTGCATAAAATTTCAGTGGTATGTATGTAACATTTGAAGTTTAGATGTTAGGAATGTATATGCATAAAATTAGGTGTTAGCTATGGGTATATATATACATAAGCATTGAGTGGTATCTATTACAATCTTGCTATTTATATATATAAGCATAGAGTGTTAGCTTTGTACAAAAAACAGGTTTATGCGAGATTATAGTTAGTTTTAGGATTTAGGGTTGAACTAGGATTGGATGGTTAAGTGTTTTTTTTGCTTGAGTCGTTCAATTTTGGATTTAATTAGTTTTGTTAGTTTTGTGTTGAATGTAGTTTAATTAAGATTTGATTTTAAGTTGCTTTTTTAGTTTATGTAACTATTCTATCTAATATTAAAGGCTTCAAAGTGCTCAATAATGTTTCTTTGAAATAATTGAGTTGTGTTTTAGGAGTATAGAAGAGTTGTTGCATATGTTATGAGATAATTGAGGCCGCATGAAGAAAATCACCTTAACATTTTATTTGGAGTTGGTAACTGTTGTATTTGTATTGAAAATTTGGAAGATAGTATTGGTATAAAATGAGATGTGAGGTTTATACGAATCTTTGAAACTTAAATTAATCTTCACTTTGAAGGAATTGAACTTAAAAAAGAATCAAAGGTTCCAGTTGATAAAAAATTATGATCTCAATATTATATTTTAGCTTGATAAAATTAATGTGGTTGTTAATGCATTTAAATATTAAGTTCAGTAGTGTGACAATTTGTATAGAATTTTTATAATGCTTTACAAGAGAGGATTAAAAACGCTTAAAAGTTAGATGATGATATACGAAATTAATTTATCAAATACAATAAGAAAGATGAGTTGAATCACATGTAGATTATCGTGATATTTTGACTTGTGGTACTTGAATTTAGGTCTTTACTAATGGTGATGTGAAGAGAGATATGTTGACATATCATGATCTCAAACATTTAGCTATTAAAGGATGCCTTTTATTTAACTTTTTCAACCTATTTTGACCATAGGTATTACCAAATGAGCCAACATGATCCATTTAGAATCTATACGGTCTCAATTGGATGTAATACAATTAATTGATCTAATAGGCTTGAACCAAGACTCACAGAACTTGATTAAAAATTTAGTGATTCGAGCTACTATTAATTTGTTGATTGCAATGTGATTAATACAATTAACAATTCAAAACATCCAATTGAAGTCTGCCTGACACTTAATTAACAATTCAAAAAATCTAATTCAGCTTAACACTTAAGAATTTCATGGAATGTATGTAAAAACCCATTTAAAATACCCAAAAGTCAAAATTTAATTAGACTTCGTTCAAGTCATTTTAAGCAAAAATCTTGCATAAAATATTGTACACATATTTTTATGATCTCCTAATCAATCTTTTTAAATGAATATATCCATTAACTTTTTTGTTTGATTTCGCTATTTATGTCATACTTGTTCAGTTTTTTTATTTTTGTTTTAGACAGTTACGATATGTTTCCTGTTTAGATTTTGCACATTCCTTCTTTTAATTGTGTATACTGTTGCTAATTATTTTTTATGTTAGTCCCGCTACAGATAGCCACAAGTTGTGCTTGGTGATTGGCTATCTTAGCGAGTGAATGTAAGTAAAAAATTAATTTATTCATATTTATATTGACTCTTAATCTTTAAAATGACGATTAATAATTGACTTTTACTATGTAGTAGCTGTACGAGCAGCTTCGGAAGAGAGTTGCTCTTCCAAACCCCAAACACTGTCAGCAGTAGTGGTAGTCAGTCTATCACTACGCAGTCTAAGTTAGAGCTATGGACGCAGGAGGCGGGAAAGAAGAAGGTCGAGATCTCTCATGCTTCTGTGGGTGGCGCGAGCTCATCACACCCGAGTACTGCAGAACTTGTCATGCAGTTTGTTGTCATGACTGAGGAGGTTCAACATCTACGTTAAGGTCAATAGAAAATTGAGTGGAGTATAGCACGTCTGACGGAGATTATAGAAGATCGTTGAGGTAAGCGAACAGTGATTGTTGTAGTCGAGAAGGAGGATTAGGAGTTTTTATGTAATTTTAACTTAAAAAATGTATAAACTTTATATTAATCAGAATGCAGATGTAAACTTTTAATAAATTAAGCTTATGACAATATCTCCTTTTCTAGTATTGACATTTTTAAGAGTTTTGATCTGTGATATAGTTGGATATAATTTGCTTTCATATTGAGTTAATGTTGTGTGTAGGTTGTGGAAATGTAATTGATTCTTAAAATTTTTTTTTTGTTTGAGTTTTGTGTCAGATTTGCGTCCAATAATCCAACGCTTTGTCCATCAAACTAGGTCCGACATAAATCCGACAGTAATCAAACGATATTATTTATCGCCTGACGTTTTCAGATGCAAAATTCGACGAACTTGTAGACCAAACAAGTTTGATGCTATGACAATGCAAATATTGATGCCAATAATTTGTGTCGGGATATTTCGACGTAAAATTGATGGAATTAACATTACCAGCCTTGAATTACCTTCGGAAAAAAACGGATGTAAATCTGACGCAAATCTGGATTTCCGTCTGATTTGACCGACGCAAATTAGTTGAATTCCTAAAGTGAAGAAACCCTACTCGAGCAGCCTATGGA